CACACACACACACACACACACACTCACACACACTCACACACACACACACACTCTCACACACTCTCACACACACACACACACACACATGCACACACACACACACACACACACACACACACACACACACACTCGTCTGGTAAGACTGGTCAGGTAGTCTTTCAGTCCTGGAGCTCATGCAGTGTCGTGTAATGGTTGAAAAATGCTACTCGTGCTATTCTGCAGAAATCAGGTTCGACCGGTTCTGAGCGTCTCAAATCTCTTTTTCAGCCGAAGTGAGTGAAGTCGAGCTGCTCTGTTTGACCAGAGATCACAATAAAACCACACAGGGAGAGAGAATGAAGATTTACACACGACGAAAGACACTGCCGAAAATGAGCTTTGCATTTTAAAACTATTCAGATGTCAGAAAGAGCTTTATTACTAAGTATGTTTACAAACACAAAGAATTTGACTTAAGCTTCCAGTGCAGAAGAAAATACAGACATACTAGTGCTGTCAAACGATTAATCTATTCATTTGTTTGCATAATATATGTGTGTGTTCTATGTATGTTTGTTATGTATATATAAATACACACACATACAATATATATACTGAAAATATTTACATGTCTATATTTATATTCATATAATTTCTATTATAAATAAATATATTTAATATATAAACATAGCATATTTTTCTGAAATATATACATGCATTTGTTTGTATTTATATATACATAATAAACATACACAGTACACACGCATATATTATGTAAACAAAAATTTTATTTTGGATGCGATTAATTGTGATTAATCATTTACATTTAGTCATTTAGCAGACGCTTACAAATGAGGACAATAGAAGCAGTCAAAACTAACAAAAGTTAGTAGTGTGATTGTTAAAGATTAATCTTGCAGCGGCATTTTGGGTTAATTGCAGAGGTTTGATAGAAGTGGCTGGAAGACCTGCCAAGAGAGCATTGCAATAGTCCAGCCTGGACAGAACAAGAGCTTGAACAAGGAGTTGTGAAGCATGTTCTGAAAGAAAGGGCCTGGTCTTCCTAATATTGTATAAAGCAAATCTGCAGGACCGGACAGTTTTAGCAATGTGGTCTGAGAAATTCAGCTGATCATCAATCACAACTCCAAGGTTTCTGGCTGTTTTTGAAGGAGTTATGGTTGATGAGCCTAACTGGATGGTGAAATTTTGATGAAGTGATGGGTTTGTTGAAACCACAAGCAGTTCTGTCTTAGCCAGGTTGAGTTGAAGGTGATGGTCCACATCGTTAAGTGGTTTAAGTTTAACAGTGACTCGATTGCTGATAAAACAAATTGTTTGTGAATAGAAAGTACAGAGAGTCACCGAGGGTGGCGTATCGTGGTTGTTTCGGTTCGCTTTTGAATATTTTTACACTCCTAACAGATATATTGGATGAAGCCCATGTGCATTAAGTAGGCTATACAGATATACTCTAATAGTTAGATAATCAGATCGAGAGATAATCAGATAGATGTCTGTATACAGTAGATGGGTCGGTTGGTATTAGTTGTTTGATGATAATTGCAGTAGTGTGTTCAGACTTGTGAATTCTGCAGGTGTGTCTCTGCATCTGTTCTTGTGTAAAGTCTCTGAGCAAACTTCCTCGTAACTTGGTGAATATAAAACTTGTATCTGTCTTTATCTGTGTGTATGTGTGTGTGTGTGCGTATGTATGTGAGAGTGTGTGTGTGTGTGTACGTATGTGTGTGTGTGTGCGTATGTATGTGAGAGTGTGTGTGTGTGCGCGCATGTGTCTGTGTGTGTGTATGTAAGTGTGTGTACATGTCTATTTGTGTGTGTGTATGTGTGTGTGAGAGAGAGAGAGAGAGTGTGTGTGTGTGTGTGCACGCGTGTTTGTGTGTATGTGAGTGTGTGTATGTAAGTGTGTGTACATGTCTATTTGTGTGTGTGTATGTGTGTGTGAGAGAGAGAGTGTGAGTGTGTGTGTGTACGTATGTGTGTTTGTGTGTGTGTGTGTGTGAGAGAGAGTGTGTGTGTGTGTGTGTGTACGTATGTGTGTGTGTGTGTGTGTGTGTGTGAGAGAGAGTGTGTGTGTGTGTGTGTGTACGTATGTGTGTGTGTGTGTGTGTGTGTGTGAGAGAGAGTGTGTGTGTGTGTGTGTGTGTGTGTGTGTGTGAGTGTGTGTGAGTGTGTGTGTGTGTATGTGAGTGTGTGTGTGTGTGTGTGTGTGTGTGTATGTGTCTATTTATGTGTGTATGTGTCTATTTATGTGTGTGTGTGAGTGTGTGTGTGTGTACATTTGTGTGCGTGTGTGTGTGAGAGAGAGTGTGTGTGTGCGCGCGTGTGTTTGTG